CATTTTGGAGTGTTAAACGTGTTTACGTTTAATCCGCACACAAAACAAGATTGAAAAAGGGATCACTAATTGCGGTGTAAATTATTACGCACGTGGTAATTGCGTGCATCGTGTTGTTTTTAAATTTCATATCGCCGTTTTTTTCTTTGCAGTCACTGATTGTACAATGCTAATTAAAAGTGCGATGAACAATCGATTTTCATGAATAAGCGAGTAATTGAAATTAAATACGAGCAATCAATGACAACTGGTATCGTAAATTTTGTTACGCATACGTCCAATATTCACATATTTCTTTTTACGCAACTTTTTCTTTTGCGAACAAATTACAAGTTATTACATAGTATCATTTTATAAAGTTATAAATTATAAATTGCAAATTTAAATAGTGATTTAAAACATTGATGTGATTTTATAAATGAAATAGAATTCATAAAACAATGAGGAACGGAGCTTGAAAATTGACTGTTGCTTTTATTCTTGCATAAATACATTTGATGAAAAGTAAGCAAAACAACACGTAGACGTCAGACCAGAACTGAGATTTCATTAGCAGAATCTCTCATTTGGTTAAGAATATAAAAACGAATATAAAGATCGAAATGACATTTTTAATTCAACCAGATGATTCTCCTAAATGCATCTGAGTTTTGCATCTACGCTTACGTAATATTCCTTTTTTACTTTCCATCGGTGTAAATAATTCATATTGAAATCATTTAAAATCGAACAAAACGAGAGAATCTGAATTAATTCGCAGCGGATGCACCTGCTGTTAACATCCAACAAGAAATTTCCCAAAATTGAGCGTTTTACCATGCCGCAGGGCGAAACGTGGCGCGCCCCGGAGGGTTTTCATAAATCGCGACGTACATAAGTCCGTTTAACCAGAAATTTATTCCGCCAACTCTCGATCCCCGTAATACCGCTGTTCCTCTGAGAGAAAAAGAGAAGTATGGAGATAGAGAGAGAGAGAGAGAGAGAGAACGAGCGAGCGAATACGAATGCGCTTGGCCGCGGTCGTTGCTCACTGGCCGCCCAATGGGCAGCAAAAAAGAATCGCGAGCAAAGCGTATCGACGTGTCGACGTGGCGAATGAACAAATAAATGCATCGCCCCCTACCTCCGCGCCAAATTTATCGCGCGCGCTTAATTAGCGGGCAAATAACGCGATTAACGGCGGCCGACCGCCGCGCGCGGCGCGATAGTTTGTCGCGTTCACCGCACGACTCGCACAAATCGGAAAAGCTTATGTATACGGAGCACCGGAAACTGTTGCTCGCGACAGCCAGAAATGCAGCCGGTGTCCCGCGGGCGGAGAAAAACGAATGGCACAAAGGGCAAACAATAACGTGTGACTAATGCACCAGTTATCGCGCCGAGCTATTTATTTTTGACAGTTGGAATATCCAGCGTTATTGACATTGCATAGAAACAATTTCAATCATCACAATTACAAATGTTATTACAGTGACGTGTAATGAGAATAAAATTTCATAAAATTTCATCATAAATTACATTCGTGATGAAATTATACGTAATGCATATAAAATACCGACTACTCTTCTACATTCTTTTCTTATTACTTGCGAAATAATTTCGTCTTACATCCTCTTTGCTGTTATTGTTGGAAATATACTCTTTATAAAAAGTTTGCAAATGCCATTGAGCTACGCTGAAACATAAACATCTGTCTGAAAGGACAGATACGATTTTCGCTATTATTCGCGAGAGGCGAAGAAACGAGAGACGATGAATCGTCGAAACTTTTTACTCGCCGCGGTGTAAAACGCGCGGAATGGAATGGAACTCGAAGTATCGGCTTTGCATTTGATCAACCGTGCAATGAATAAGGAAAACTTGGCCGCGTTCTATGCATCGGAAGCTGTTGCGCTCGTAAGCCTGAATTGTAAGCCCGCACAGCTGCAGGCGAGAAGGCGCATACCGAGGAATAACATCATGCAGAAGATAAATGGCATTCCAAATCATAAATTATTCATAATAAATACATCGATGAAACCGTTAGTTTTTCTATGCAATTTTTAAAAAGGTGCGGCGTATTGTACAAAAGAATAATTTATTTTTGAAACGCCAAGAATTATAAAGTAACACGAAGTATTAGCTTGAAAATAATACCTTTACTTGTAAAAGTAATTTATTTCGTCATTTCTAACGTAAGTCAGAAATAAATTTAAAGAAAAATTGTGCAGATTAAGCTGTTTACGAGAATATTATGCATCCTATGAAGATTATTGATCCCGTGGATCAAATAACAGTGAAATAATTTATCTGGAATAAACGACGTGCAGTGATGAAATTATGATAAAAGAAAAAAGAAGAGGGAAAGAGGGCGAAAGTAAAATTAGACCTCGTCGGATACGGCGCGGAATAAAATTCAAAGTATCGGCTTTGCATTTGATCAGCGACGCGGCGAATAAGGAAGCCCCGTATCCTGCCGCATCCGGACCCGCGACGAGGCGAATCAATCCTCGAACTTCAAAGGAATCCCGCCGCTCTTGATCCTTCGGGATTTCCTGATACGCGTGGGAGTCTTTAATCAGGAACCGCGAATCGACAGCCCTCGACGGCACGTCGACCCCGGGGAATGGGCTCGCCCACCCATTGTCTTCACAGACTCGGTCCATCCGGCCCGTCGCGTGGCATATTAATTAATTCGCTAATTATTAAACTAATTGCCGGTTTAATTGGCTCGCGAGAAGAGTGCCCGTGCTCGCAAACGGGGGAATAGAGAGATTCGAGGAAAGGACTACAGACCTTGATTATGCACCGTGATACGTTCCTTCAGAAACGCGCGAGTCGGCGGCCTTCAGGCTATGAGATCTCACTGTTTCCACCGACAATCAGAATTAGTTAACGCTGAATTAGCAATTCACCGATCTCATTCCGCGCATCATCGCTCTAGCTGTAACATAATTAGGAAATCTAAATAAATAAATCATCTCAAAGGGTGAGCTTTAATTTATGCTTGTACGGCGATTGTAATGTTTTACAAAATATACCTGTACGATAGATAATGCTATTGCAAAAATTCACGCACTCCACCGAGTTTAACCGTATTATGTCAGTTTTTCATTTGCATATTCGTTTTGCGCGTTTGCGCATTCGACACGCTGTTCAATATTTATGTGTTCAGAATGCGAGGCACGTCGGAAGCATTCGTATCCCAATACGTACTTTATTCAATGCGAAGCGAGTACTTCGTATCAGAGGCACGCGCGGGAAAGAAGCGGAGAACCGCAGTTTCATCCTAGAGTTTGCCCTCCAAAACTAACGTGCTGTTAGCCAGCCAGCCGGGCCTGTGCATATCCCGCGGACTAACAGGACACAGTCAAAGGGGTCCGCGTGGCTCTATTGTATTCCCGGTTAACTACTGCTTACTGCAACACAAAGCCTTGAAAAGCCGACGAATTATTTAAAAAGACTCGTCATTGTTCCGCGAAGCGAATGGTCAAACCGCCGCGAAACCACTTGCTAACCAGACAGGAACTCTTGACTAAAAGGAAAAATAGTTATATATAATACGTAGAGAAACTACGGGGGCTTTTATCATCCACATGTAGCAATAAAGATTGGATGTTATAATAAACGTAAAACATTTTACTCAATATAAAGTTTCCAATTCGACATACATATTGGTTTTGTGACCCAGCTTGTTTAACAGAAAAATACGAAGCGATGTTTAAAGCGATATAAAACATCGGTGCAAACATCATTGTAAAATTGAGCGTTATCAAAACAAGGTTCTCAAAATAAATCAATAAATGCTACGTGACTATGCAACCGTAGTTCACTATATATTGACACACGTGAAAGAAGAAAAAATAACTCCTCCTCTCTCTTTCTTTTTATCAATCAATTTTACTCTTCTAATTGTTCTTCAATATTCTGCTAACACAGTGCGCATTGTCTTTAAATAAAGATAAACCAAAACTCTGCAGAAAAACCTAAATGGAATTTCAGATCTCTATATTTTTATCAATAATAAAACTGACGTTTACGTCGTGTACATATGTACAATTGTATTGTTTTTTCGAAGTAATACGAAACAATAATAAATATAATATTAACAGATGAGTACAAACAAGTAAATAATATATCAGTGATGTACGAGATAATCCATTAATGAAATGATATAGTGACGCGACAGATCCTTCGACGACACGCGAGTGTGTCATTAATTCTTAATTACCAGGTATACGAACAAGATTGAAAGAAAAAGTAGTTTAAATATTTATCTCTTTACAAAAACACGAGTCACACACACACATTTAAAAAAATACACAGACTCATCTTATTGAAAGTGCATAATGTAAAAAGGAAAAAGAATAACAATTATTAATTAGGAAAAGCTCTATTTTTTAAAATAATCATTATTTATTTGAGAACAAAAAGTAGAGGTAAAATATTCTCTAAATTAATTTTGAAAATGATGCTTTATATTTTGTATTAAGTGTTTGATACGTAAAATGATTGAATTGTTATCACAAGTGCATTAATTAATGCACATTTTTTTACATTTTCTTTATAAATTGTACCTATTATTATTGCAAAAGAGAGGATGTGCGGATAAATTTTTTGTCAGTATTCTGAAGAGGCATGCGTGATTATAATTGGCTCTCGCGGCCACTTTAAATTTTAGCCTGCTTTGCAGCACTCAATTGTGTTCGGTTGATCGAATATTTTTAATTACCGCCGTATTTGTTCCGATCGTCCTGCGAATGCACGATAAATATAAATGCGCACACGTCGCAAAGCCATTTTCCGCTGGGATTTCCATCATGTGGTCAAAATTTTCTACTAATAAATACGTTTTTCCCGAAGTCTCTTTCGAATGCAATGTTTTCGATTTTTATAATTGTCAGCCAATTTAATAATTAAAATTGTTCCGCTGTTATCTTAAGCATAAATAGAAAAAGTTTTAGAGATTTACATTATAACACATTCTTAGAAATAAGGAAATCGTTCATATTTTTGTATAGGTGCCAGATTAGAGATACAGAAACTGGAGGTGCCCAGCATCGTTGATCCACGGTGGGAGAAAGTGTCGCTCAGATGCGAGTACGATCTAAGCGGCAAGGAGTTGTACTCGGTGACATGGTACAAAGACGGCATAGAGTTCTTCAAATTTATGCCGGCAGCGCCGATACCTCTGAGAGATTACGGCATCAACGGCTTACATGTCGACCTCAGCAAGAGTGACAGCAATCAAGTGACACTTTGGGGTCCAAACAATGGTGCGCAACATTTACAAAACATTGCAATCGTACACTTCTCATAGTGAAAACAAAACTCTCATACACTCTTCAATAAATTTTTACAAAAAAAATAATAATTATAATCATCATGAGTGAAAATTGACGTTAAATAGCAGTCGACAATTGATTTTCAGAACAATTATTTTCCTTTTTTATCACTTGTGTAGCTTTTAAAAATATTTGTAAAATAAAAAAACTCGTTTTTTTCCCATTTTGAACTTACAATTAGTTTTTTTCTTTTACAATATTGCAGGTGAAATAAATTTAGCGGGATCCTACGGTTGCGAGGTGTCGTCCGAAGCACCGAGTTTTGAAACAGACTACAGAGAGGCGAACATGAGCGTGGCTGTACCACCCAAGGGTCCCCCGATACTTGAGGGAGTGCGACCTTCTTACGAGCTCGAAGAAATCCTCGAAGCGGAGTGCACGTCGGGGTTAAGTTACCCCCCGGCAGTTTTAACGTTCTTCTTGAACGGTAAAGAGGTGAGTCGATGATGTTCGCGAGCTGGCACGAGCTTTCCGCCGGTTAAACCTTCAAGGAGTCGCATAAATCCGAGGGGACAAGCCGCGTCTAGCAATCTATGTGCACATTCTGTGATTGCATTTCTAATTTTTCGCTCGCTTTGCAATAAAAATCTCCTTTAATTTTGAGCATTAAATATTTTTCGGTTTTTAATAACTAAATATATTCTAAATTAAAAAAATTAATTCTTGAAATATTATCCGACGACTTTTGGACATTCCTGTAGCATTGGTCGATACGAAGCGCGAGCAAAATTTCGTAATTAATCGCATAACGTAATTCATCTTCAAAAAGCTCGCTTTCGCGAGTATGGTGAACTAGGAACCACATAACTCCCATTATTCAATGCTATGCTGCGCATGTCATTCGCGAGAAGGTACTACTCGGTTTATTCAACGACAATTTGTCAAGCGAGGTCACTTCGTATGGGCATTTTTATTTCGTTCGTCGACCGGCTGTACATTCAAGTTTTAACAAAGCTACGAGCCGCAAATTAACTTTTCTGAAATAAACTCGCAAAAATATGTCGCAAATTGCAATACTGGCAAAAATATGCTATAGAGGTAATACAGATCGTAGATCAAGAAGAAAAAATTAATACAGATGGTACATTATCCCAAAATTTCTTTCAAAATTTTGCGAATCAAAAATTAAAAATTGAATTAAAAAAAAATTTGAATATTGAATATCTGGGGAACATGAAAACATACAAGTATCGCGATTAAAACGATTTAAAACGACTTCGAATTATAAACTTTAAAATGAAAACTCTGGCTGGTTCTTAACAGGTGAACAGAGCTTGGACCAAAGATTTGCAAAGCTATACAGACGAAAGCGTGGTCACCACGACGCGACTGGGTCTGACAATGCGCTTGGAACGGCACCACTTTCCCAGCGGCACCCTGAAGTTGACCTGTCAGTCGACACTACCAGGAATCGCTAATGGCAAGGTCCTCGATACCGTCGAAATTGCTACTCTGGCTGCCAATAACCAACCCCTCGCTCAAGAACCTCCTAAATCGGGTTCAAGGTCGAACGCGTCCTATTCGGCATTGATCTGTTGGATGACGGTTGTAATTCGCGTAATTTGTTGCGATAGATTTGCGCGTGTTTAATGTCGGCCGCTGTTCGATCGACGACACCGAAAGTCCGCGGCGCCAACATCTCTGATACTCGTGCTAATTAGTGCGTATGTCCTCTATCTGTTCACGCGATCGGGAAAATGTCGCATATCGTCGCGTATCGGCTTCTCTCGGCGTGTTAATCGACGATCGTGATGCCGGCGGATGTATGCGCGTAATCTCCATGGCGCGAGTGTGATATACATTTCGATGTCCCGAGTCTTCGCGCATCCTGTACACGTTCACTCGCATGTATACACAGTGTTAGAACATCCCGTATATCGTATAGCGGATAACTCGGAGGTACGACGATAGCAATACAACATTACGTAAAGTAGGTCGGAACGCGGACGCGCGGCAGCAATGTACATAGTGTATAATTGTGGATTAGCATTACAAATTATCGTGTATAATTAATTGGACCGGGGACTGGAGGGACAACGGGGAACACGATGAAAGTAAAATGTGAGATCTATCGGGATTCGCAGGGACGCGCGCGAAATCGCGGGCGATTTTTCGAAGGAACAGCGGAAAAATGACGCAGCTAGAGAACGTCGCGTCCGAGAGATGTATGTATCTATCATTCATCGGAGACCAGTATTGTTTAAATAAATATAAATGTATACGAGCCGTAACCTCTAAGTGCGGCTCGATGTCGACGTATAGCGTAATGTGTGGTTAATCGAACTATATTTTCCACATCCGATCTTCCTCCACGGCATGTGACGTAAAAGATATTAAAGACGCTTTTGTTCCGCTGCAATTTTACACGATCTATGTCTCGTCATTATCATCGAAGCGATTGCAGTAATAAAACGATAATTTAATCAACCTATTTGGCATATTTTTTGCAAACCAGATAGAATATCCTCTTTAGCGTAATATTATTTCGTTGAATATTATTTACGTTCAATTTGATTTCACCGATTTATAGTATATTGGATTCAAGTAACTGTGAAGCATACTCTGTATTTGCGATCACGATCAACGGGTTGCAAGCTCTATCGTGCCAAGCGGAGTAAGTCAATAAGTTGGCTATCCGAGGATCTCTCGTGATTCGACGACTTCCTTTGCCGGCGTTTGTACAGCGAAGAAAAGCCCTCAGGAGCCGATATACATAATTTGTGTAAGTAATAAAGGCCGGCGAGATAAGAGCAGTTTAAGACGCCAAAGGGGAGCCGACTCGGAACGGGGTAAACAATAAAAGGAGAAATTAGCGAGGGCGCGTCTCTCGAGGAAGCCGTCGAAAGATAGGGACGGTCACATAAACCGTCTCGGATTCACCAAACGAATCCCTCCTCCCTCTTCGCCTTCGAGCCGATCTATCGGCACGCCGACTCTGCGACTCTCCTTCCTGTCCTCGATTCGATTTCCAGATTAATTAAGGATCGCTGGTCTGAAAGGACGCCCTCGAGAACCTTTCAACGGGGTCGAGTGTCCGTCCGTCCCGAGGGCGGCGTAACGAGCGCCGATTCGAATCGGTTTCACGAGACACCGAGCTCGATAATGACATTTTCCGTCGGCTCAGGTAAGTCTATCTTACGACTCCATGCCTGCTTACTGATTACGCGCGCCTTCAATCTTCAATTTAGTCGCGCCACACACGGAAGAAAGCTTGCAGAGTCGCTTCAAGCACCTCCTCCGTATTTTTTTTTTTTTTTCTTTAGTTTTCGAGAACAAGAAGAATGTGAGATACTACTTTATCTGCAATATTTTTACGAAAATCTGAAGATCAACTGTCTCTTATAAAAAATAACTAAAAATTATCACTTTGTGTAATTTAATTAAATATTAAATTTAATTTTTATCAGAATCAGATTTTTTAGTATATTATTCACTTAATTTTAACAAACAAGAAATTTTAGCGAATGTTTTATCATTCGTTCATAAATTAATAAAATAATAATTTTGAACTAATTATACTACGCGAGAATTATTTGTACCATTGTTTGAATTCTCGATTCCTTTGCCACCTCATCACTCATAATTTATAACATTTTTATGATTTCATAATTCAAAGAGATATGCGATTGATTTGATGCGACCTACATAAAGCTGGCGAAGACAATAGTCGCGCACCAAACTCGGAACCGTAGATGACGCGACGTTGGGGCGGCTTTAGGACGTTCGAAGTCGAAGGTACAGACTCGCCATTACCCTCTTGCTATTACTCCCTCTCTCCACCTTGCTTTATCGTTTCTCACCTAACAGAGATAGAGAGAGAAGGAAGGAGAAACAGAGAGAGAGAGAGAAAGAGAGTGCAGATATCGTACCTGCCCTCGTATGAACACGTACGATAGCAGTACGGCAGTGCGTGTTCGTGTGCATGCAGCGTACGTATGAACGCGCGCACAACTGTGTGCATCCCACAAGAGATGCCAGGAACTGATACGAAATCGATAGAACCCAGTTTCCGGCGAGGCGACGTGCCGACGTTATACTATTCGCCCAAACAGCATCAACTGGCGACAGGAACAACACTGCAACACCGATCTTCCAAGTGATTCGCGCATCACTCGAATGCGCTTTGACTAGATAGATATAGGTAGGTAAGCTCCCTTCCTCCCTCTTTCTCTCTCTCTCTCTCTCTCTTTGTCTCTCTCGCTCTCACTCTCTCTTTCAAAAAGAGAGAATCGACGAGATCTCGATCCAATATGACGAGTTTCCAATGAGAGCTACGAAAATCATGATAGTGCATTTCGCGCATCTAGAAGTCCACAAAAGATTTAACATGTTAATATAATAATAATAGCGGTGAAAAGAACAGATTAAAAGATAAGATAATGTAAATTTAAAGATGTATTTAAAATGTACTTTCACATAATTTCGACGGAAAGAATTTAAATAATATTAATATTAAAAGATTTGCGGATTATCAAATAGATATTAAACAGTTTACGGTGTACAGCCGATGAATTACACGCATGTGTCAATAGACAATTGATGCCTGACAAAGATGGAGATTTTATTCAGAGTCGAGTGAGCAATTCGTGCGTGATGTGCAAGTAATATACGCGCTTACTCGGAAACCAGATGAAACTAGATTTCCATTGGTCACGAAAAGTGAGGCGCAATTGCTCGGAATTAATATTCGCGTCTCATATTTTCTTGCAGCCAGTGCTCTTGCGCTCTCGCGAATACAAATCACCAGTCACGAATAATAACCGAATGCTGTTAATCGCGAACGTTCGAAGCGATACGAAACGTCGAATTGTATAATTCCCTTCATTTAAAAATATAAATTTAATATGAGATATATTATACGAAATTCATTATGGTTCATGTCTATTTTATAAAACCATTTTCAATGCGTTGCAAATACCACTGCGCTTATTTGAAATAGACAAATTAATTATTATTTCTTGGACAAATAAATCAATTGTTATTTTGTAATATTGATGCCAATTTCGTCGAATCTACCGATCAGAGCTTTGCTTCGACTAGTTCAAATCGATCACTAATACCCGCGTGACTCTCTCCCGGTGACAAACTTGGGAAACGTGACACGATTGGCAAACAGAAAGCCCGCATACCGATAAGGAATCATGATGTTGATAGTACATTGCGATTTGCTCGTAAGCGATTTCTGAACAGAAACTCTCTACTATTAAAAAATATCATTATTCACAATAAAATTTATTTTTTTTGTTTATATCAATGTGAGAGGAGAATTTTCTGATTGGAATTAAATTTCCTAAAACAGACTATTTTACATTTTAATGTTTTTAATGTAACTTATTAAATAACTATAAATTTCGGAATAAATATTCATCAAAAAATATTATTTGAAAAACCATCATGATACATTTTTATTATCAATTTAAAATCAAAATTTTTTACCTAATATTCGGAATTTTCAAATTTTAAGTATTTTCAATGTTTGAAGCTTTCAATAATACACAGCTTAGAAATAAATTCCAAAATTCGATCCTTGTTATATCAGAACTTTCGAAAAATCGCAAACTACTTAGGTAGAAAGGTTCTTGTTGAAAGATTCAGTATACAGTCCAATCTCTCTTATAAGGTAGTTTGTCCCTCTGATGGAAGACTACAAGGAAGTAATTCTCGAAAAATTGTCAACGCTGGGAAGTTTTTGATCTGCAGCGTAGTAACGCGAGTCCATAAAAGATTTTATTAAGCAGTCGAAATCACTCACTCCCTTGCTAAAAAGAACACGAAGTTTTCAGGAAACTGGCAGGAGAGGCCGCATTGGCTAGATTAAAGGAAAAACTTCGCGATTATCCAACTTTGCCATTCCGGCTTTTCTACATTCTTTTCGCAAGCGCAATTGACGAATTTGGAGCATTGTATATTAATTTCATCAATTTGCGAGCATTTCCTTTATTCGCAAACTAGGCAAACTCAAGTAAGTAATATATGTATAGATAAATTAATATACTAAAAAACGCATTCAGTATTTACATATGTATTATATATGTAACAAAAAAAATAAAAAGTTGTAGATTGTTACTTTTTTTCGAAATTAAATGTAATAGAATTCGCTGTGCATGCTAATTAGGTATAACAACTATTTAAAACACTGAATAAATTTTATTCTAAATAAAATTTAAATTGAAACTATTTTTGTAACGCATGATAGAATTGTCATACACATTTCAGAATTTCTGATATACATCTCGCAAAAAGAACGATATAGTTTTCCGAGTTCTGACAAGCAATGAAAAGCAAATCCACAGAATCTAAATATACAACTGGATTCCTGTCGGTAGTTTAAACCTTCCACGATCTTCGTTTCCTTTCCGGCTTCATGTACCACGTTGTTATGCCAGAAGAACAATATGAACGCAGTCATTGCGAAAATACAGTAGGAAGAGAAAGCTGCCGGCTTAGTTATTTTTATCCAACCACTAACTCGTAGCTATTTAAATTAATTTTCCTCGGTATTTCTTCCATCTTCTACCCTTTCTATCTTTTACGATACTTCTTTAAAAAATCAAAACTTACGAGAATTCTTCGTTACTTACTCGTAGAAATATTTGAAAAATGCGCTCAACATTTTTTCATTAATTAAAATTTTATGAAAGAAAACGACAATCAAAGATAAAAGGTACGTGTAAAAAATACTTTTAGCGTGCTCGTACTTTAGATTAGCTCTTGACGAAAGTCACATTGCGCTCGGGCAGTTTTTTAGGAAGGATCTTCTTAAGAAGGATTCTGAGCGAGACCAGAAAGCACCGAAGTTTTCGAGTAATCGCGGTTATTACTGAAAGTGCAGTTGCAGAAGTTCCACGGTAAATAACGAGCGAATTAGAATTATTGTCGGAAGAGGGAAAGTACAGAATACTTCGTGCGAAATTTCACAAAGTCTCGGCCGACCGCCTTCCAATAATGTACTCTGTTTCCATCTTACGTATCGCGTGGTTTTCACGATTGTCTCCGAGAAAATTGAAAAGGAGCTTCCTTTCTTTATAATGGAGAAATATCACAAAGAAATCTGTATACATTTCGCATCTTAATATTTCTTCAATATATTCTTATGATTTATATATAACGCGCTATTACTTGAGCACAAAAAGAATAATAAAGAGATGTTAACGGCAAATATACTAAATTGTTTTTTTTTATATTACAGTTATATATTGTGAGAAAAAGATTATCCGATTATAATTTTATACTATTAATCAATGTAATTGACACCCAACGCTAATACGAAAGCATTCCATTAACGAGGAAACAATTGTGGCAAAGCACGACGTGAAATCGCGTGACTAGACGCAGTGTCTTTTTTTTTAAGTCCATGTCGAAGGATCGTTTCGTCCTTATGATAAAGAATGACCCCTCGTTTTCTGGTACCCCCGCCTACAAGGGAG